ACAGCATCATCGTCATCATAAGCAGCCGCATCATTAACAAAATCATCATCAACAGCAGGAGCATCATCATCAGCATCATCATCGTCATCTGTATCATCATCACTATTCGACATCAGCATCATCATCATCATCATCATCATCATCATCATCAGCATCATCATCAGCATCATCAGTATCATCATCAGCATCAGCATTATCGTCGTCAGCAGCAGCATCATGGTCATCACCCTCCGTAACATCATCATCGTCAGCAGCAGCATCATCATTCGACAACATCATCAGCAGCAGCACCAGCATCATCGTCGTAATCATCATAATCACTATCATCACCATCATCATCATCATCATCATCATCATCATCATCATCATCATCATCATCATCATCAACATCTGCAGCATCATCATCATCATCATCATCATCATCATCATCATCATCGGCCGCAGCAGTATCATCATCGTCGTCATCATCAGAAGCATCATCAACAGCATCGTCATCGACATACTCAGCATTACAATCACCAACATCATCACCTTCAGCATCATCAGCACCTTCAGCATCATCATCAGCAGCATCACCAGCATCATCATCATCATCACCATCAGCATCAGAATCATCATCATCATCATCATCATCATCATCATCATAATCATCATCATCATCACCACCATCACCATCAACGTCGTCGTCAGCGTCATCATCACCATCATCAGCATCAGCAGCATCAGCATCATCAGCATCATCAGCATCAGCATCAACATCATCATCAGCATCGGCAGCAGCAGCAGTATCATCATCATCATCGTCATCATCAGCATCATCATCATCAGCAGAAGCATGAACAACCTCATTAGCAGCAGCAGCGTCATCAATGTCATCATCATTATCATCATCAGCATCATCAGCATCATCATTATGAATATCATGATCACCATCATCAACATCATCATCGACATCATCAGCATCATCGTCGTCGGCATCAGCAGCAGAAGCATTATCATCATCATCATCAGCATCATCATCATCATGACCATCAGCATCATCATCATTCGACATCATCATCAGCAGCAGCATGAACAACATCAGCAGCAGCAGCGTCATCAATGTCCTCGTCATCATCATCACAATCATCATCATCATCAGCAGCAGCATCATCATCATCATCATCATCACCATCACCATCAGCATCAGCATCAGCATCATCATCATCAGTATCATCATCACCATCATCATCAGCATCCTCATCCTCATCCTCATCATCGTCGTCGTCATCATCAGCAGCAGCATCATCGTCTTCGTCATCATCAGCAGCAGCATCATCGTCATCATCAGCAGCATCATCAGCAACATCGGCATCATCAGCATCGGCATCATCATCAGCATCATCCTCCTCATCCTCATCCTCCTCATCCTCATCCTCATTATCATCATCTGTATCATCATCATCATCATCATCATCATCATCATCATCATCATCATCATCATCATCATCATCACTAGCATCATCATCATCAGCAGCAGCATCATCATCATCAGAATCAGCATCATCATCATCATCATCATCATCATCAGAATCATCATCATCATCATCATCATCCTCATCCTCAGTATCGTCATCGTCGTCATCGTTATCAGCATCATCAGCATCCTTATCATCCTTATCAGCTTCAGCATCATCATTAGCAGCAGCAGCATCGAGAGCATCAGCATCCTCATCATCAGCATCTTCACAATCATCATCATCATCATCATCATCATCATCATCATCATCATCATCACCATCACCATCACCATCACCATCATCATCATCATCATCATCATCATCATCATCATCATCATCATCATCATCCTCGTCATCCTCTTCAACCTGCCATCATCATCAGCAACACCAGCAGCGTCGTCGTAGTCGGCGTCACCAGCAACAAGAATCCTCAACAGCATTCCTCGACATCATAATCCTCCTCCTGCTCACCATCCTTATCATCACCACCACCACCGAAATACTCATTCGTCGCCACCATAAGGATCATCAGTATGAGCATCATCATCATCGCGGCGACCATCGCCGCGAGAGCGCCTCGTACCCTTGCATGGCAGCAGGGTGAATCCTCAAGGGCTTTCCGTGGTTCCTCAGCGAGTGGGCCAGGTACATTCCTTTGGGCGCGGTGAGGGGGAGGAGGGGGAGGAGGAGGAGGAGGAGGAGGAGGAGGAGGAGGAGGAGGAGGAGGAGGAGGAGGAGGAGGAGAAGGAAGACAACGACGAGGAGGTGGAGGAGGTGGAAGAAGGAGAAATGAGAAAGACTACCAGGCGCTGCATGAGCAAAGGGTGATTGAATTTGTGGATGAGACGGCCATCGAAGTACTGAAGACCGTGGCAGCCTGCATAATGGGGACGAGAGATGACCAGGTCACCTAACTTCGCAGGTCGAGCCCGCTGAAGCGTGACACGCGGCTATCGTCGCGCCCTTGCGCCACCGCGCTTCAGGACACCCTTGCAGCCCAGGCTGCGATGCACGAAGCTGCGATTATCCTCGCGCCCCTAGGGTGACCTAGGACACAGGAGAAGAGAGAAGAGAGAAGGGAGGAGAGAGGGGGAGGAAGAGGAGGGAGACAAGAGGCGTGACAAGCACCGAACGATGTCACGCCCAGACGCGCCAGCCAAAGGCGGGCAGGCATCGTCCCGGCACTGCGCGCCGCAGACCCGGCGAGACGCTCTGGCTCGGCGCCGGGAGCAGGCGAGAAAGTGAGCCACGGAAACGAGCAGGGGGGACCGGCATCGAGGAGAATGGTCCTGGATTGGCATGGGCGCTCGACCGCTATTCTTTGCAGACGTAAAACTCACCAACACATGCCAATACCAGGAAAATGCAGAACTCAACAAAAATAGACACTACTTCGCAAGCCCAGCAAAATTCGCCGAGAACGCACACTCTAGCAAACCAATGTTGGCCACAAACCGAGTTAAAAAGCGTCCTGAAGAGGGGGAAAGGGTGTGGCTTGCAACCGGCACCCTGGGGGGTGCACCCTGGGGGGCGGGCGGGGACCTCGATAGTTCTCCGCTGCGTCCCGACGAGGCCCGACGAGGACAGTCTCGTGCCCCCCACACCACTCGTCGGCGCCGATCGCGAACCACACCCTGGCGCAACCACACCCTCCCCAGACATCCCTCTTCTCGATTTTTTCGCGACATGGGCCCCCGACTTCGCGATCACTTCCCAGGGACCGGTCTTTCATCCCGCGTCGTTTCTTGACTGTCCCGAGGCCCTGCGAGGGCCCCGAGAGGCCGATGACGATAGGGAACACCTCCGTCCCAGTGTTTTCGAGCCTGCCTGGGAGCAGCGTGGAGCTGCTTAGGACGATGTTGCAGGATTTTTGGGACTCTGGAGGCGGATTCGGGCCCCCAGCATCCTCTCCAAGATACATGCGTCCTCGCGCTGTCGGTCCATGCGCGAGCGGGATGTCTTTCCTCCGCTCTCTGGCCGGCAGGCGACCCCCATGACTGCGGAGGGACCTGTGGATGCGGGGGCGCCCCGCGCGACGATTCACACGACAGCTGTGTCGGAGGCAGCTCCAGGCTCGTCTGAAGCTCCAGTTTAGTCAAGAAAATCATCACCATCTCCAAAAAATTAGCAGAGTACGAATAGTTTTTCGGACCCAGCTCTGATAGCAGACCGAGGTCAGGCGTCTAGATACTTTAAGCTAGCGCGCCTGATGATTTTCTTATGATTGCTGCGCCGAACAGCTCTGTAGCTCATCTGCAGCTCGAGTTAAGTCAAGAAAACCATCACGATCTAAAAAATTAGCAGAGCCATGCCCGCCAAGTCCTGGGGGAGGGGGGTCCGAGATCGGGCCGCCGCGCTCGGGCCCCTAAGACCCTCACTGCCCGCGGGGCCGTCACGAAACGACGCACTCGGGATGGGGAAGTGGCCCCATCTCCCAAAGGAATCCCAGGGAATATCCTCAGGAATGTCCTCCGGAATATCCTCATGAGTATGCTCAGGAATATCCCTGGGAGTCCGGAGGAATCTCGCAGGAACATCCCTAGGACTCCCTCGGACTCTTCAGGAAGGAGGGAGGAGGGAGGAGGGAGGAGGGAGGAGGAGGGAGGAGGGAGGAGGGAGGAGGGAGGAGGGAGGAGGGAGGAGGAGGAGAGGAGGAGGAGGAGGAGGAGGAGGAGGAGGAGGAGGAGGAGGAGGAATCCTCTGGAATCTGGAGGACTCCTCGGGAATCTGGGGCTGCGGGGCCCTGGACAAGGACCCGGTGGTGGCCCAGGCTGCGAGGGGAGGGCGAGGCGCGGCTCTCTTCCTTCGGGAGCGGCCAAGAGGGGGGTGCCCAAGAGGGGGGGGTGCAAATCATGACCGGCGGCACGTGCGCGGCCCAGCGGGGGGGCCAGGGACGTAATGAAATAAGAACAGGCGCCATGAAATCTGGGGAGATATCATGGCCCCCGCCATGATATCCACCCCCACTAGTCATTACCCCCCTCTTTTCCGCCCCCGATTCCTCGCCCCCGTGGACTGGGCCCCAGGCGCCGGGGAGGGGGAGAACGTCAGCCAGGAGAGCGGCAGACAGAGCAAAGCTGCGGCGGTGCCTGATCTTCCTCTGTCATGTCTCATCCGCCCTCCTTCCCCTGGCTGCCTAAATGCTGCCCTTGCCCGCAAGTCGATCGAATCGATTGCAGAATCGAATCGATCGCATCAAACTCCGTCCGTGTAGGATGGCACGCTCTTGGGGCCCGCAACCGAACTCATCGAAGCCACGCACAAGCAATAGCACGTACCTTCGAATCGCTCGAATCGCGGACAACTCTGAATCCCCTGCCCCCCCTCCTCATCTGCCCTCATCCCTGCTCCATTCCCTTCTCTGACCGAGGCCACAGAACTGTCAGACTGAGAAGCTATCCTTCGCATGCCCTTCTCCTCCTCCCCCTCCAACTCTACCCCCTCCTCCTGACTGATCCTCCTCCTCCACCCCTCCTCCTGCTACTGTTCATCGCTCACCTTCCTCCGTTTCCTCGTCCTACTACTCCGCATTTCCAAATAATCCACATTCTGTGTGTCCTCCTCTTCCTCCTCTTCCTCCTCCTCCTACTCCGACGACGGGGACGACGACTACTACGACTATTACGCCAACTACAACTACTACGATCACTACGACTACAACTACGACTACCAGTACTAGTACTCCTACTTCTACTACGAAGAAGAAGAAGAAGACTACTATCACTACTACTACTACTACTATTACTACTACTACTACTAACTACTACTACTACTACTACTACTACTACTACTACTACTACTACTACTACTACTACTACTACTACTACTACTACTACTACTACTACGACTACTACTACTACTACTACTACTACTACTACTACTACTACTACTACTACTACTACTATACT